ACAGTGGTCATAAGGGTGGAGCTAAGGGGATGGATGTAGGTATGAGCAATTTTGTGGGATGAGAATTGATAACAATTACATATGAGTTGGGTGACAGAGCATGAAAGGGTGAGGGAAAGAGAAGAGTAAAAGATGAATTAGTGTCAAAAATTGCAGAAAAAGAAGGTCAAGAAAGGTTAGAGACTGAGAAAAGGCCATTAAATTTAGGTCTTGGTTAGGCAGGAGAGAACAATTTCAGTTTGTATGTGGTTGAGAAGTGAGTAAGAGGTAAGGAAGTTGAGGACACCAGTATTAACCTGCATAGGTGACTTTTTCTTGGAGTTTGGGTCTTGTAGGGGAAAATTAGAAACCACAATAATTTTGTAACATCTCTGATATAGACTAACAATGTAGAAATCCCCCAACTGCTTGGAGGCCTAATAGTAGAAAGTAAGGAGAATAGATATAGAAAAGTGAATGGTCTCAAACACTGTCATAGCAACTACTTGCTCTTGGAGAAAAGATCTATCCAGCCAGTTTGCCTAAAAGAACTTTAAGAAATTGTAAAAGTATTTGATCCTTTCTCTTTGTCTCTTGCTCTTGAATAGGGAATGTTTTCTTTTAATAAATCCTGCTATTTGCATTCCAAATGCTCCCCTCAAATAATTCCCCCCTCTTTTTCTACCCCTCCGTCTCCTATGAAACTTTACTTATCCATCCAAAGTTGCTGAAGAATGCTACTTATTGTGTATACTAAGAGGGCCTAAAAAGTTAGAAAAAACCAAATTTGTACCCTAGAAAGCTGAATCTGCTATTCATCAAGAGCAGTATTCCTTATTGTGACAATAAATTGCTTTCAGTTTGGCCTCCTTTCTTTGACCCACTGTCATTGGACCTTACTGATGAGCATACCTCTCTTCCAAGAGGCCTCATTCCTCCAAGTCATGAGAATTCCCCTGACACTATGAAAGGGGGGAGAGACATTGGATAACAGGATCAAGTAAAAATAGTTTTGTTGTTATCTTTTGTTTTTTATATTATACCCATTTCTAAATACACACCTTCCCCCCTCTCTACAAAGCATGCATTGTTATAGTCATTGGGTATATTGTTTTTCTTGTTCTACTTACTTCACTGGTTTCTTCTGCATCAGTTAATATAAGTTTATCCATTTTGTTTTGGATTCCTGATATAAGGGGTCAATTGAAAAGGAACTGCCATGGACACTTTTCTCTTTTTTTAAAAATTAATTTATTTTATTTATCAACAATCACTTCCATAAGCTTTTGAGTTTTAAATTTTTCTCTCCTTCCCTCCCTCCCTCCTTGTTCTCCCTCCCCAAGATGGCATGCAATCTGATATAGAATATACAGATATATTCCTATTAAACATATTTTCACATTAGTGATGTTGTAAGTAAGAATTAGAACCAATAGGAGGAACCACTAGAAAGAGGAAACAAAACGCAACAGAAGAAAAAAACCCAGCAAATGGTATGCTTCAATCTGCATTCAAACTCCATGGTTTTTTCTTTGGATGTGGATAGCATTTTCCATCATGAGGTCTTTGGAGATGTCTTAGATCCTTGTATTGCTGAGAAGGGTTAAGTCTATCAATATTAGTACCTAACTGATTATGTTATTCCCTTCTTGAGTCAAATCTGATGAGAGTAAGGTTCATAAAATGCTCATCTCCCTCCTTTCTTTCCCTTTGCTGTAATAGGTTTTTGTGCCTTTTCCTGTAATGTAATTTACCCTGTCTGCCTCCTCCTTTCCTTTTCTCTCAGTACATTTTCTTAGTTAGATCAGATTAATCCACTTACTTGGATCCATTTAACCCATTTGATTAGATTTTTTTTTATCATTACATCAAAGTCAATTTATACCACCCCCTTTATGTATACCCCTTTAACATGGTGTAATAACAATACAGTTCTCAAGAGTTACAAGTGTCATCTTCCCTTGTAGGGATGTAAACAATTCACCCTTATTAATAACATGTTGTTTTTTTCTGTCCTGTTTACCTTTTTATGTCTCTCTTGAGTCTTGTATTTGAAGATCAAATTTTCTGTTGAGTTCTGGTCTTTTTATCAGGAAGGTTTGAAAGTCGTTGAATTTCCATCTCCTCCCCTGAAAGATAATGCCCATTTTCGCTAGGTAGTTTGATCCTTGGTTGTAATCCAAGCTCCTTTGCTTTACGGGAATATCATATTCATGGACACCTCTCTTGAAGCAAACAAAGATGTTTAAGTTGGGTGAGGTTGAAACTGACTTCAACTATAAAAGTCTGTTCCAATTGATTTGAGGGACTTGGTAATGCCCTTCAGGGCCTGTATAAAAAACGGGAAGCTAGTTAAAAATTCTCTAAATCTGAATGTCTAGTGGAGGAAAAGAGAGATTTCCTCCTCTGGGAACAGGGACTAGATCAGTAATTTCACCGATATAGTTCAACACTTTCTCTGCTGCTTAAGCAGTGGGAGATTAAATGACTTGCCCAGGGCTACCCAGACAAAAATGTGTCATTGGTAGGACTTGAACAAAGACTATTTTTAGGCCAGCTCTTTGCTCACTATGCCATGCTGGTACTCTTAGACATTGACTGTTTCTCTTAAAACAGGTCCAGATTCTATTCCCTTCCCCCCATCTTTGAAAAACCTTCAGGATGCCCAGAATCACCTTTTGGGTATTCATAATAAGTCCTTTACAGTTTCCATATTCTCCACTCCACTCACTCTTTAACCCCATTGTCTTCACTTTACTTCTGCCCACTTAATAAAAAGCAAGCATTTTCTGGGAGGACTTGTTTTGTTTTGCTTGTATCCCCAGGTCAAGTCTGATGCAAAGTGTTGTTCAATTGTGTAAGACTCTTGACCCAATTTGGGGTATTCTTGGCAAAGATACCAGAATGATTTGCCATTTCCTTCTCCAGCTCATTTTACAGATGAGGAAACTGAGGCAAACAGGGTTAAGTGAATTGTCCAGGTTAACACAACTAGTTTGAGGCCAGATTTGAACTCTGGAAGATAAGTCTTCTGGGCAAAGTAGGTAGTTCCTAAATGCTCGTTGATTACTATTATTAGCCATAGGCTGGGGAAGTACTTTCTCACAACAGGGGCTCTGGCTCTCAAAGATTCCTAGATCTTAATTTTTACTAGCACTTCAGGAGATCATCTGGGGCATCTTGGGTATATAGATGCCTGGTGATCTAGTCCCATGGGATCTGCCTGGATTCAGATTCAGAGCTACTTCCTAGACCTCTTCTCTAGACTGTCGCGGGGGGGGGGGGGGGGGGGAACGACGACACCGCAGTCAGATTTCCAGCAGGTGAAGAGTTTAAGGCTTGATCCCTGAGCTCTATTCCTTGAAAGATCTGGTGTTTGATATACTTGTCTTCAAGAAGTTTAAAATCTGTTGGGACTGGGAAGAACGGCTGCCTGCATCTTTTCTAAAGATCCCAGGGGCAAACCTTTTAATACAAAGGTTTTGAAAATCCTGTGTGCATGTGTTTTGTTTTTCCACAAGGAAAAGTTGACTAATAGATTCCCTTCTAGCCTTTTCTACTCCGTTATCCCTAAAATTCGTCCCGAGGATCTTATTTAAAGAAACTCAACATTTTTTCCTGATAAACTGTTTCAACCCATGCTAGGAATCGAGGCGTTCTTAAGTGAATCTCTCACAGCGTTAAGTGCGATCAGCATAAAAGAGGACTGACTCGATCCATTCATCTACTCACTCTCACTCTCTCGCTCACCCAGCTTTGTAAGGGTTCACTTCAAGTTCCACCCACAATTCTCCCCACCTTTTCCATTCATTATTCTTGTTTTAAAAAAAAAGCAGATTGTAAAAATCCGTGGACCTCCTGCCTTGAAAGAAAAAAAACCCCACCACTTCTATTTTTCTCTTAGAAAGGTCTCTCTTGTCTCCTGTTCCTTCCACTCCCAAACCCCTTCCAGAACTTTATTCCTCCTAAAGCAAAGGTTCTCAACCTGAGATTCCACGTACTTTATACACACATGCAATCTGACCACTGTATTTCAATATGCACACTTGGGTTTCTTTTGCAATCCTATGCATTTTAGCTTATGCATCTAAATATAAGATTCTGAGGTGTCAGTCCACAGGCTTCCCCGATTGCCAGAGGGGTCCGCGACACAAAAAGATTTCTCTGTTGTTCCTTTTAACACAGAGCCCCAGGAGGTCGTGCCCCTCACTCTACTACGCAAAGGGCCGGGAGAGAGTTATCTTGGGCTGTTACTTATTAATCACCGCTCCCGGTAGGGAAGGCTGGGGGGCGGAGGACGCTCTGGGGGAGGGAAGAGCGCCGCGGGGGGCGGGGGAGTGTACCGAGTGAGATGCTAGGTGGTTGGAAGCAGGGAGGGCGCAGGCTGGAGGAGGGAGGGCGCCACTCCGGCCGGGCCAATACAACAAACAGAACCCTCCTCCTCCTCCGCGGTACGAAACCGCCACCAACAGCCCAACCGCCGGCGGAGTTCCGCGGAGGGAGGCGGGGCCTGCGCCTGCCTCCGGACCCCTCCCTCCTCCCCGCGCCCTCTCGCGCTCCCCTCTCCCGGGGCGAGCCTGGGTAGTCCCGGGCAGGCTCCGCCCCCTCGCGAGAGGCGGCGGTCATTGGGCTGCGGGGCTTTTTTTGCGGTCGTCCTAGTTGCGAGGGGAGGGCGGAGTCGAGGAGGAGGCCGCCCTCGGAGGGCGGGGGAGGCGGGAGGAGGAGGTGGTGAGCGGCCGGTCCGGGAGCGGAGCCGGAGAGAGAAGGGCGAGTGCCTGGGAGAAGCTGAAGCCGGGGAGGACTCGTGGACCGCGGCGGCCCGGGCGAGGCTTCCCGCCGCCCGCGACGAGCGGTCCCTGCTGACTCCTCTGCCTCCTTCCGGCCGCGCCACCGGGGAGGCGGCTTCCTCTGCGCCTCCCTCCCGCTCCTCCCCGCCCCCTAGTCCGGAGGAGGAGGAGGAGGACGGGGGCGGTGGTTGGAAGGAGGAGGAGGCGGCGGCGGGCGGAGACCGCGCTCCCCCTTCTCCCTCGGCGGCGGCGGCGGCGGCAGCGGCGGGGACAGGACAATGGAGGTGGCTGTGGAGAAAGCGGCCGTGGCAGCGGCGGCGGCGGCTGCGGCTGCGGCGGCGTCGGGGGCCCCGGCGGCCGCGGTCCCGAGCGGGGAGAATGAGGCCGAGAGCCGGCAGGGCCCGGACTCGGAGCGCGGCGGGGAGGCGGCCCGCCTCAACCTGTTGGACACTTGCGCCGTCTGTCACCAGAACATCCAGAGCCGGGCGCCCAAGCTGCTGCCCTGCCTGCACTCCTTCTGCCAGCGCTGCCTGCCCGCCCCCCAGCGCTACCTCATGCTGCCCGCCCCGCTCCTGGGGGCCGCCGAGACGCCCCCCCCTCCCGCCGCCGCCCCCGCCGCGCCCCCAGGCTCCCCCATCTCCGCCACCCCTCCCTACAGCACCCAAGGTGAGCGAGCCCCTTTCCCGCCGCGCGCGCGCGAGGCCCTGGAGAGGGCGAGCCGAGCGGAGCCGCGCCGCTAGCTGGGGGAGGGGAGAAAAGGGGCGGGGAGGCGGGGGACGCGAGCGAGCGGGCGAGACACACGGCGTGTGAGTGCGTGTGGGTGTGTGGCGACCCTGCTGTCATGTCGCCACGGGGGAGGGGGGAGAGAGAGAGAGAGAGAGAGAGGAGAGGGTCTGTGTGTGCAGGCGTGTGACATGCACGGAGGGCCCTGCGCGCTCGCTGCGGTGCGTCGGCTTCTCTGCAGGCAACTTCGATGGGCGCTGGTGACTTTGCGATCCCGCCGCCGCCGGGAATGCGCGCCCTGGGATCGCCCGCTGCCCCTTCCCGGGCCTCTCCGTGCGGGGACCCGGACTTCGGAAGTCTCTCTCCACTTGCCCGGTGCATTCTTACGGCCAACTTTTCTGTGAACGCCAGCGTCCTGAGAGTTGTTTGGCCCTCGCTGTCCGTTTGCCCGAAGCTTTTGTCCAGGTCTCTGATTCCAGGGACGTGGGGGGAAACCACCTCATTTTACTTGTTTTTGCTTTCATGGTTGAAATGATTAAATAGTGCTAGATTTGACTTTTGTTTTCGTGGTTGGAACTTTGAGATTTAATTCTGTGTTCCGGGTGTGTTTCCTTGCAGTGTTCCTGCTGTCTTCATGGGGGACAAAGGGACAGAATTGTTATTTTTCCTCCTGTAAAGGGACTTATTTTAACGGGGTCGAATGTGAGAGAGGGAGGAGAAAAAGAACTCATCCTTGAAGAAAGTAAGTTTGGTAGGAGAGTGACTTTTTTTTTTAAAGTATGCATGTAATGAGAACAGCTGGGAATGTTGAAGATGTCCTGTTTCTCCGTGGTGGTGTTGGGGTTTTGTTTTGGCTTTTGGTTTTTGTCAGTGTAGTACCAGAATCTTAACAGGTAACTTGACTTTGCTTTTGGTATCAGATCTGAAGCATTTTAAAAGTTAAAAGCAAAATATTTTTAGATAATTGAATTCTTTTATAGTTTTAGAAAGCTTTTTGCATTTGTTGTGCTTTATGTTTCTGTATTTTTCTTTAAAGATTGTAAAAGCAACATTCAGGAAAGTGTTCACTCCTTTTCAAAAAGGAAATAATTTTTAAACTCCCATTTTTGGAGGAGAAACTACTAATTGTGTTTAGTATCAGGGCAGTAGATAAAGCACTGGCCCTGTAGTCAGTAAGACCTGAGTTCAAATTCGACCTCAGACACTTAATACTTGTGTGACCCTGGGCAAGTCACTTCACTTACATCACCCTCGGTTTCTTGTTGTGAGGATTAAATAAGATAAATAATTGTAAAGGACTTAGTGCTATATAAATGTTAGTTTATTAATTATTCTAACATTTGCTAGTGTCCTCCCCTCCACTCCCCATTGTACTTATGTGTTTTTGTTGTTGTTCAGTCATGTCCAACTCTTAATGACCCCCTTTGGGGCTTTCTTGGCAAAAATAGTGGAGTAGTTTGTCCTTTTCCTTCTCCAGCTCATGTTACAGATGAGGAAACTGAGGGGAAACAGGGTTAAGTGACTGGTCCAGGGTCACGCAGCTAGAGTCTGAGGCAGGATTTGAACGCCACCTAGCTGCCAGATGTTATAGTGCCAGATTGTAATTGAACTTGGTTTTAGGGATGAAGAATGCTTTTAATTGGAATGAGTAAATTTAGTTTATTTATTACATTATGAACAGCATCCAGTTCACCACCTAGTAGTGATTCAGCCAGTCTCCTATTCGAGTTTTATCCTAGGTATCATAAGGGCAATTTTGATGACTAAATCTTGAGGGGAAGAAAATTAACTTTTTTTTTCCAAATAGTGTATTATTCAGTGAAACTGCTTTTAAAGAAACATTTTCATGAAACCTTTTGAATCCCTAACCAGGAGATAACCAGCCTTCCATGGTCTAACCTATCTGAGCCTAGAATTAAAATGTTCTAAAAATTGTAGCTCTGATTGGTGTCATGCATTTTGGAGTCAGAGGTTCAAATATTGAGTCTTACCTGTGTGATCTAGGATGAGTCTGTGACCCTTTACTCACCTGAAAAATGAGGGAGTTAGACTGGATGATAGCTCACCACCACGGAGAAACAGTACGTCTTCAACATTTCCAGCTGTTCTCATTACATGCATACTTTAAAAAAAAGCCACTCCCCTACCAAACTTACTTCTTCAAGGATGAGTTCTTTTTCTCCTCCCTCTCCCACATCCAACCCCGTTAAAATAAGTCCCTTTACAGGAGGAAAAATAAAAACCCTGTCATTCTGTCCCTTTGTCCCTAATGAAGGGAGCAAGAACATTGCAAGGAAACCAACCTAGATAAAGTCTTCTGGTCTGAATTTGTGGATTCCTTGGACTGCAAACAGGTAGGCCAGATACCTACCGCTTGTATTGTGAATGCCAGAATATGATTTACAGGAAATATGGACATGACTTGGAAGGTGGGTTGAGAACCTTGACCTTGTTTCTTCCTTTTCAGTACCTAGTGCCTGCTAATCAAGCAAGTATTCAGAAGGACACACAGAATTTAAAGAGGTCTCAGCGTGTAAAATTATTACAGCTCTGCTTTATAGTGTGTAATCTCTTCAGTGAAATGACTTAGGCAAAACAGTCAGCTGCCTGTATAAATTATATGACTTGGGATAATTTATATTCCTAGGGAAATTTTTGTTCTTGAAACAATTATCTTGCCTAGTTTCATCTTATCTCGCTTTTCTCTTTGATGCTGTGATTTGTTTTGGAAAAAGAAGCTAATTTCAATAATGTAAAGTATCAGAAATATAAATCTTCACAAAGTGCATACAATTCTAAAGCAGAGTAGAATTGACTCCTGGTTTCATGTTTCCTGTGTTGGCTTCTTTAAAAGAGGCATTATGGTGTAGTGGGGATGAAAAGATTGGATTTGGAATCATCAGATTATAGAATTTAGTGATCCTCTAATGCAAACCCTTCATTTTACAGTTGAGGAAACTAAGAGAGTGTGATTTGTACAACATCACACAAGTGGTAAGTGGTTGAGGTAAACAGAAGACCTGATCTTAAATCTCTGCTTTCCAACTGAAATTAAGTGTCATTTTTTCACATGAAAATAGCTCATAAATTTGGTGTTCATTGAGCCCTCTGTATTTCCCTTTAGTTAAAGTCAAATATTTACTGGGTATCATGGGAAATATAGAAAGATTAAATAGTTAGGTGAGACTAACCTAAATGAAGTAGGTCATGCCTTCTTTAAACCTTGTTTTCCCACATCTGTATATAAAATGAGGGGTGTGGGCTACTAGGCCCTTTCAGCTCTTAACAGACTATCATTTAATAGTTCTATAATCATCACTAATGAACAGTACAAGAATTTTTACGAGTTTTACAAGAGTTCTTGAAAGCAGTTTGGAACTAGGCCAATAAAGTTGCTAAATTGTGCACACCCTCTGACTCAGATACAAGTACTAGGCTGCTACCCCAAAGACACCAGAGAAAGAAGAAAAGGACCCATCCGTAACTATAACAGCTCTTTTTGTGGTGGCGAAGAACTGGAAACAAAGACAGGGAGTCTTATCAGTTGGGGAATGGCGGAACAAGTTTTGTTATATGAAGGTAATGGACTAATTTTGTGGAATGCAGTGGTTTCAGAGCAGAGTGTGAAGAGCTTTATGAACTGATGCAAAATGAAATGAGCAGAAGCAGAACAATTTACACACTAACAACATTGTAAAGACTTACAGCTTTGAAAGACTTAACTTTAATTGACCACATTTTAGGACCTACAATGAAACATGCTACTCATCTCCTGACAAAAATGTTGTATTGAGGGTGCTGCAAGTTAAGACTTGTTTGTGGACAAAGCCAAAGAGATTTGTTTTCTCAGCTATACATACTTGTTTAAAAAGTTTTCTTTTTCTTTTTTAATGGAGGAGATGGAAGGGAGAGAATTTATTTTTATTCATTTAAAATCTGAAACTAAACTAATTGACTACACAGAAAAAAAAGAATGTTCAGAAGGTAACAGGCAAGGAAAGGATCTTTATTGCTATCGTGTTAAATTTAATATACACCTTTTAAAAAAGTGTGACAAGGTTTATATGCAGTCCTCATTTCTGTTCTTTGTGAATTGAAATGTTCAGGTTTTATTTCTGTTAAGTTCCTAATATAAAATTAATGGAAGACAATTTAATTTTTAAATATTTTATTGATAACTCCTTTTGTGTAACTTCCCAATGACTCCTCCTACACGGATTCCACAAAAAACTTAAATCAGTGGCCAAGCAAAACAAATCAACACACTGACCATGTCTGAAAATGTATGCCATAATTATCCGCAGTTGTCACCTCAATAAAAAAAGACACATTTCACCATTAGTCTTCTCAGGTCACTGTCAGTCATTGCGTTGCTCAGAGTTCTGAAATTTTGCAGTGTTTTCTTTTTTGTTAATACTGTACATTGTTCTTATTTCTGCTTATTTCATTCTGTATCAGTTGGTACAAGTCTTTCCTAAGTTTTCCCTCCAGTTTCTTCCTGTTTGTCGTTTCCTATCGCTCGATAATTTACTATGATATACCCCAGTTTTTGTTCAGCCAGGCCATTCCCCAAGTGATGGGCACCTACTTTTTACTTCCATTTCTTTGCTACTACCAAATGTGCCATTCTTAATATTTTGTTATATATGGGGTCTTTCACCTTTAATACTGGCATTGTATGCCTAGGTTTATTGCAGAGTCAAAGGCTACAGTATGAGGTTCCTCAAACTTACCAAATTGTTCTGCAGAAATTTTGTGCCAGCCCTCAGCTCCAACGTCAGTGCATCGGTGTTCCTATCTTCTCATATCCCTTCCAGCATTAGCCATTTTCATCTTTGCCAGTCTAACATGTGTGACGTGAAACCTTCAAGTTTTTAATACACATTTTTCTTAATAATTTAAGAATTACTTCATATGGTTGTTGCTGATAGCTTTAATTTCTT